CGTAACCTCACCCACTATCACTGATCCCTACCTGATCCATCTGTTCCCTAGAGACCCCACCTGGGGGCATGCCCTGTCCTCCCATCATATTCCGCATCATCTACATAAGACCGCTGAAGGACTCCTCTCCCCTTCCCTATCTACATTCGGGTCCATGTTCTTGGCCATCTCCGTCATTTGGGCCATCTGCTCAGGAGTCATGTTGGCCATCATGTTTTGAGCGGCCTGCATCATTTCTGGAGTAAACATGGTCGTTAGTAGAGGCTCCAAAACTGCCAAGCTTCGAAGGTCTGGTGCATTTCCATTGAAATGTGCGAGTCTCGCACCAACGATTATACACGTGTGAAAAATCCATTGACGATTATCGATGCATAATCGTTCGAAATCTAAATGGGTAATTTATCCCGGCCTCGTCACAAGACAGATGACGCTGATACTCTGATCCATTTGCATTTCTCTGGGTGGATGCCGTGATTGTGTGGTGGGCTACACCTTTGTACTCTTTTCTTATCTATAGTTACGGTCAATGACCTCTTCCACTGCCCGGTTATGCTGTTATTGCACCTTATTAAGGTAGTAAGTAGCCTTGTCTCCTCTTGCCAGGACCGACATCCTTAGGGGTTCTATTGACCATCAGGTCGACTTCGAAGGCCTAGGTACGGGACGTGTTTTCTATTCACTATGACGGAGGACAACCATGCGAGTATGTGTTCTTCCTGGATGGTATCAAGCATCCACCAGAAGACTACCTGGCCCGTCGGACGTTTTGAATTTCATACGAAAACTCAACAAATTTTCTCCAATAACTCCTTCCCTACCACACCTCTGGCTCATCGTGGATATCGGCTACAGTTGGACTTCCCACTATTATTGAGATCGGCGTTTGAAGGTTGACTCGATGATTATCCTTCTGCGCACAGCCAAGATTCTTGCATTCACGCATCCTCGAGTTCACAAGTCCTACGTGGCGGAGGTCGCAGGGCCTCGTAGGCGTCTCCATAGGCTTCGATATCTATTGCTGTCTGGTTGCTCCTCTAAAACCAATAATGGTTGCCCACTTATTAAAGGAGGTAGTCGAAGGAGGTCCTCGCACAAGGGCAGAGGGTCCTATGGGCATGGTATTTTCCTGTAGGGTTAGATGAGGAGGCACTCGCGATGATATTGAGACACGTTGAAGGGTCTATCACTTGGCGGCGCTATCCTCGAGTCGAAATCAGGTAGCATAAACCTTCCCATAAACGCATAGTAGAATAGATGTGTAAAACGCCTATTCTACTACACGTATGGGCATCATAATTTTGAGCCTTTAAAGGCGTGCGTGTGCTATCTAAAGATGAACCCACGGCCTTTGCTCAGTCCCCTTACGGTCTCCCAGTAATTGCTGATATCGTAGCATCATCGATAAGCACTTCTTTTATGTTGGTGCTGTGGCTTCTCCTCTCACACAGTCTTTCTGGTCCCTCGTTGTGATACCGTCCTTCCAGTAACTCTGCTGCGCCTTTTTCCATGTAGGATTCTCATCCACCCGTATAGTCATAGCCTCTTTCTTTGGTTGCAGAGATGGTCTCTTAATGTCTCTTGGAAGAGGTCCTTACACCCGACCTTAGAGGGACGGGCTGTTGGCAGGGAACGAGCCCTTTATTGGTAGTGATAGGCCATTACCATGCAGGGGTAGTCTCTTCGCATCATATCCCTATACCTCATCAATGCATCCGTCCCCGTCCCTTTGTTATCTACTACTATCAGTACTTAATTCACAAAAAGCATCCTGAAACCTCTTCACTGTTGTGTTTGTCCATTGTGATGGACGTCCATTTATTCTTAGTAATAACTTTTATTAATGAGCAGTCCTACTGTGCCGATGAACCCTCAGCTGGAGCAGATTCTGTCGAGGCCGGAGAACTCTGTGTGTGCGGACTGCAACGCCTCCAACCCTCGGTGGGCTTCAGTGAATCTAGGTGTCTTCATCTGTAGGTCTCCCTAGTGAATTCTTCTCACTACTGATTTTCTCAGGCACTAACTGTGCTGGTGTTCACCGTGGGATCGGTACCCACATCACTTTTGTTCAGTCAGCAACAATCGACCAATGGAAGCCTGAATGGGTGGCCTTGGCCGATGCTGTTGGAAATAAAGTTGCGAATGAATATTACGAGTATTTGGTTTTACTACCACTCCTCGGCCACTTCACAATACCATCCTCAGGTACAACGTGCCGTCGCATATCCATAAACCGGATGGGAAGATGTTCCCCAACAGTGGTGGTGGCGATAGATTGGATCCCGACGTGGCCCGGCATCTAGAGCGATGGATTCGGAATAAATATGAGCTCAAGCTATTCGCTGACTACTCCGCTAAGGAGCCATGCGTAGGCCAGGAGTTCGTCTCTACTTGTGAATGCACTCCGTTACTTTGGCAGGTAGCGTTCGCAGATGGGGAACTCGTCGGTCCCCTTGGGCTCCCTGGGCCAAGTAATGTCAACCTTACAACGACACCGGTCGCTGCTGTGCTAGCAAACGGCTATGTTGCTACGCCCGAAAAGGTATCGAAAAAGAAGAAGCGATCGAAGAAGTATGAGTGGAGCGAGACGACGTCTGAAGGGGCCTCTCGCTTGTCTTGGAAGGAACAGGCTCATGTCGATGTAGCCCACTTGGACCCGCGGTATCTTAAACTTGCCCCCTCCCAACAGGGTTGGCAGAATAACTTCTTCATAAGCTCCTGGATAAGTGATGTCTCGAGTGGTCATGACCACAGTCGGGTAACCATTTAATATTCCTATGGAGAGGCCGGGGCTGTAGTTGACTTCATCGTGGAAACATTGTATTTTGTTGTATTCATCAAGCAGTAAGCGTTATATATTCCCTGTTAACATTTCAATTTTATTGCGAACTTCTTGGGAATTTGGTTGTCAATAAATCAACAACTGCCTCATTGTAGTGGATGTGTTTGTAGAACACAAGTAGTTTAGAGTCGCAGTGGATGAGATTAGGTGGTCAGAGGGATAGGCTCTATCAATTAAGATAATTCGAGTAAAGCTCAATTAGTTAGCCAGACTCGTCTGGTGCCTATGGCGTCTGTCGACGCTTGCGGGCAGACTTTTTCGCTTGGTGTCTCATTGAAACTCACCGCAAATGTTACCAACGGGCAACAACCCACTCACATTGCGTGGTATGGTAAACAGGACAGCGGACCCTGAATGCGGGATTCGGTCGAAAGACTAAACTCGAACCAGAAACCCGCACGTCGGGCCGCCAAATCACAGGGTTGAGGCTCGCTCGAGGTCGACCTCCGGAGGTCGGCCAACGAGCTGTCTCAGCCGAGTGATTCAACCCGGGAGAGGGGGGGGGCGGGGAGAAGATAAACGAGCCCGCGACGCAACTGCGGAGGGGAAGGTATACATATGCAACGAGCCACTCACAACAGGCCTGGAGTACAGGCTACGGAAAGCCTCCTAGATGTTTCTCGCAATCGTAAATACGCAGTACTGTTACGGTCTACTTCGCTCGCCGACGACACAAGTTACCGCACTCTCGATTTTTTTTGTGTGGTTGTTTCGCACCGGTGACTCTGGTCTTGTAACTAGATTACGCCACTTTTGTACTAATCCACTTTTGTACCAAATCAAGTAGCGCTCGCCCCTATTTTAAAAACTTCCCTTCGGGAAGCGCTTCGCTCCGCGAACCACTTCTGTGCTAAAATCGTTCCTTTTGTGGAAAATTTGACCCAGTTGATTGAGCTTGTACCACTCTCAAACCACTTCTGAACCAAATGAAATAGCGCTCGCCTTAGAACAAAAATAGCAAATAGTTGATCGAATAGCTCTCCGTCAGGTCGAAAACTGAGCAGAGGTCCTGACTCAAGGAAGTACTATTCCTGATGACATCGTGGATATGTGGATGGCTATGCTCTGTCGGCAGGGTGGGGTTACAGCTGCTCGAGGCGTATTGGTGGGAACAACTCACTTCGGCTTCTCGCGGGTCATTGATAGCATCCTGAAAGCCGTGAGCTCTATCTCCAACCCGTTCTAGATCCGACATGTGGGCACTATGCCGCATCTGCCGTTGTGGGTGGTCAGGTGTATTTCATGGACAGTATGAATATGTCGGTCATGTCTTATGTCTAGTGAACATAATTCCTAATCTATTGATGATTTCCGAAACCATAGCTTTGACTACGTTACTTAACGTACGAAGTATAACCACTAGCGGCTAGTAAACCTCAACACAGTGTACTAACTTAAGCTGTAGCCTAAGTCCTAGGCCAGTAAGAATGAGAAGCTTAGCTCACTCCTGTCCTCAGTCTAACCTTTAAGAGCACTGGGCAAGTGCCCGAGTAAGGCCTCAGCACGCATGCAGAAATACGTGACGCCACCGGTGTCACGGCGCACAATACAATAACAGTAATAACAGAGTAATACAGTCAAGTACAAACACCGGGAAACCGTATAATGGTTCATGAGTCTCCGTACACTGCGCTGGAGCGCACAACGGTCTGTAATAATTACGACATAATTTAGGAGTCTACACTTGTAGACTACAAGGAATGAGGTTATACGTTGAGACTTGTTAAATTGCGTTAGACGCAGGACGTCCTCGGCTCTCCTCGCAGTGAGGGCTTCACTCACAGTAGCGGAAGGCAGGTCGTTTTAAGACGTGTGAAAAAACCCAAGTCGTAAAATTTAACCCGTGCAAAAGCATCCCAAAAATTTAGTGCAGAAGTGGAAGTAAAGTTTCACCCGGTGTCAAAAATTTCTTTATCGGAAAAAATAAAGTGAGTAAAAACGTGCAGAATTTGGTACAACAGTGGATATTTTACCCACTAAAAAACTTAATCGTTTGCGTGCGAAAAAGTCCAGATCCGGTATAAATCGCTCACCTATCATCGTTTAGTACAAAAGTGGTTTAGTACAGAAGAGGAGACACGTGTAACTAAACTTGATTACTTCGTAACCATCACTTACGCCTTGTAGACCGTGGTGGAAGTGCTCAGGGTAGTATCATCATCATCATACTCCTGAGTATGGTGCCCAAACCACCCACCCTAGATCACCTTGCCAGAGATGTACATAGACTTCAAAACCAAGTCAGTACTGCGGTATAAACTTAATTCTCCATCAGGAGCTTTTCTGTTCGATTTATGCCGGGACAAGCAGCTCAATTCACGCATGGAGGTGGCCGGCACAGACCCCTCACTGGTGCCCTGCGCTGCCACTTCCATGCCTTTGGGTACAACAGAGAGACAGCGACTGGCAATGGAATAGAGGGGTGGTTCCGCGCTCGTGGCTCCGCTCGAGCAGACCTGTCATCGGGCCGAAGAAGTGACCCCAATCCCCCGCTGTACCAGAACGGTCGCAGTTCAAGCCTTCCACCAGCACCGCGGATGGCCACGTTAGTTCTGCCGAGCCCTATTCTCGATTACATAACTGAGAGAAGAGTGGCAAAAGCGCGTAGGTTCTTGCCGAGTCTGTTACAATCCGATCTAGATTCGCTGGCAGGTGGGGGCTACTATGAAGACTTTGCCACAAGACGTGCTAAGTGGTTGTGTAACATGTTCGATTGATGTGATCCGGATGTCATATTCGATCTCTATCGTGTTGCGTGCATGAGTATGTTCCTTCGACTAGTCATACTGCCACTGTGGCAGTGCCACAAACTAGGACATACATCACTAGGTATAGAACTAGGTATTTCCGTTATCAATTTCACTGAATAGCACAAAAGAAAGTGATTCTAGATACAGCACAGTATGTAGTCAAGTGCATGACTTCTGAGACAGACCAGCCACGTGATGGTGTAGCTCGAGACTTGTCTCCGTCGATGATGTATTAATCAGCCAAGTCTGTACCTATTCTGCTTACCATAGTCTACGAGATTATCAACATTCTTACGACGCTAGCCGTTTGATATCAGCCTCTACTTCTTCAATACGCCTTAGGATTTTCACAATGCTAGTCGAAATCCGTGCTCTCACACATGATGGCGATTCCTCTGACACTGTTCGCTCGAGCTCCTCCCACGATACCTAATTCCTTACCACTCGCCCACCCAATCAATCGCTATCTCATGTACCTTATCGGCTATTGCGTCTTTCAAAGAGCACTGTAAAGAGGAATTTCTTCTCCGTAGTGATGCCAGCCTTAGTATCTGAGCCTTTAATATTAGGCATCCCCTAGAGCAGGATACTTGATAGCTCGAGCTTTCGGTCTCCAGCCAATTGTCTCTATTCATGAAGGCGTTCTCCTGACAGGGAGAGGCATCGGGGAGATAGTTGACTCGACCAATCCCTGCCTTCCGATCTACAGCTGCCGTGTTCAAATCTGTAGCCTGTCGTCTGCAGCCCAAGTCCAAAGATGCACTTGGAAACTATACGCATACCTCAACGAGGCCTTCTCTTTCTCCTGCTTCTCACGATTTTCGCGATACCGCTTACACGTGCCACCGTGGGGATCGCCGGAGCTGCTGCTGCTTCGTGATGGACCTGCAAAATGACACTCTTTGACATCCGGCCAAGCTGATCTCAACAGATGTGGGTTGAAGAGACATCCTCGGCCTGCCGTCGTTGAGAAGCACTCTCCAGCCGATGGATGATCGAAGGACCCTGTCACTATACACGACATAACGATGACGTCAGCATCCTCACTTCGGCCAACACTATATCTTTGATCTCTCGGATGCGAGAAGCATCTGAGAGAGCCCGGAGTTCTCAAGCTGAGCCTCTCGAACCCACCAGTCGCTATAGCCAACTCGGATTTGAGCAAGTCGACGGCTTCGGCCAAAGAGATGTCGATCTTTTCACTGATCACCTGTACGGACCATGGCGCGTCGAAAAGACTCTTCATACTTTATGCAAGCTGCTCTTAGGGACTGTCGGGCCTCTATCTCTCAGCTCGTGCTCGTCGGACAACCTAGTAGTTGCCCATCGTGAATTCCCACGAGCAGCTTTCCCCACCGTCCCGACTCGGCAATTTCCGCCTCTATGGCCCCATCTTCAGGAGAGGGCGCTGCCTCTAGGCCAATCGGACTGGCAAGCCTGTGCCCTCCAGTAGTTGCATTGTATTCCTCAACCCTCTCAGGCTGAGGCGCGGATTTAATGCTCGTCTCGTCTGCCCCCATCCCCACTCCATCAGAGATGAGCGTCTGCTGTGTTCCATATTCCGCATGCCTGTTCTGGGCGGAGGAGTTGGGGTCTACGTAAAGATTCCGTCTCCCATATTGGGGAGTAAAACCCACTCGAGGGGGGTCGATCGACCGCAGTCATACTGCTAACATCAAATACATGAACCTGATCGCTGGCAGGACGAGCTCGACCACGGCGGAGATACGCTACCGGCTTGTCCCCATTGCTGTTCACTCTGATAACCTCCCCATAGTCGATCAGATGGCTTCGTGGCGGTTGCTGCGAATGAGCACGTCCGTCCGGATCGAGCATGCTCCCTACCTCTTCCCCGTGCGCCTCAAGACAAGCAGCAGTGACAAGGACGCAGCCGTGGGCACCACACGCTACTGGAGGGACCTCATCCAGAATGTACTTGCACAACCGCACTGCGTTGCCGATGAGGACAGGCCTGCGAACCACGTCATTGAGCTACGATGATTATGATGGTATGGACCTCGGCAGCCTATACCCGACCACCCCCGCGATCAGAGGTTCATCAGACTCCGACACACTGTGAAGGACTATTTTGACTTCAACACGAGCGAAAGTCGAGTCAGCCTTCAACGCGTCAAGATAGGCGTCCGCGAAGCGGAGGGCGTCTGGAGATATACACCATGTTGCAGACGAAATCAGTTCCCCAGCAAACTCACCGACGGCATGCTGAGGCCAGCCAGAGAAGAGAGCACACATATGCTGGTTGGCGTGGACCAGTTGAGGGCGTCCTCGGGATCTCTCGTCTGACGGTAGCAGCATCTTCTCAAATTGAATCTACCCTGCCTCATGTGCCTAGCCGTATCGCGCCCGACCCATACGCAAGCATTAGAGAAGACCTTTAGATCTTCCTGGGTCCGAATCAGTCGGGTCGACTTCATCATAACGATGCTTGCCCCTCCCAGGTCCCGGCTGAAGGCAGCATACCCACTCCCCCATAGTAGCAGTAGCGATACCATACAGATCAACAGCAGTCTCTAGGCCGACTCTGTGTGGGCTCAACACCCCAGCCTCGTCAATGCACCCCAGATACCTAGGAGGCTCCATGATGTGGGTAAGAGACGACCCTACTTCTCGGCAAGCCCACTGCCCAAAAGGAACTTGAAGACAGCCGCATTGTGAGCAGTCTTCTGAGCGCGTTCGGTCTTCAACTTGACCTGATACGGTTCCGATTCTTCCCGGAATCTTCAGTTCCAGTCGGGCCACGGTCCAAGCCTCGGCCCAGCCGCTAACGCCGTGCACGTTTACTTGAGTTTCTATTCTGGCCAGGACTTCTTCCTTCACAAACGGCTTTGTGAGATAGTCGTTGCAACTACAACAGACGGGTGAAAGGTCACATTGAAATTCGGCGTGAATCCTCTCACGTGAATCCGAGACCTCTGACGACGTCCTCCGTAGTGGACTTGGCACTGATCATTATAATGGGGAGCTGTGGTGGAAAGTCTTCCCGGAGTTTTCGAGCTACTTCGTATCTAACCTTGGGGCTCCCAAGATTCCCCAGCTCGGCCCTCCTCACCCGCTCATACCGGGCATCATCGCGTCGAGAAGGATGAGGTCGGGCGCGTCGTTGTTCGCCAAATATCTGGCAGTATTCATCATTACTCGAGTATTTTCAGTATTCCTCATTACTCGAGACACTCAAAGCCGTCCATAGCCTCATCTACTCTATAGCCGGCCGCGGAGAGAAGCGAGTCTGGTATAGTAGACTCATGGGTTTACAATGTGCCGTGCTCACGTATAATCATCTGATTCACAGGGTCATCGTCTACGCTTAATATGACAGGATCTTTCAGGCCGACTCCACCGTCCGTGTTGGGCGCTACGCCGAGGTCACTCAACATTGAAGCTCTAGTAAATGATATACGGCAATCCTCCACCCCCCCCCCCTGTGTCAGGACTCGGCAATTCTTGACTTTCTCTGTGAATTTTATGCGATGATTTCAGTCGAATCGGCTAGGCTATTGCTTGAGAGTATGATATGACAATACATCGTTTTCAGTGCGATGAGGTAGGTGTTCAATCATTGACAACTCAATACGGTGCACTAGAATAACTCATATCACAACACCTGGACCGTGAACCAACCCAGCAAGAGAGAATGCCTAGAACCGTCATCACCGCAAGCTCACCAGCCTTCTCACTCAACCCTCATATTTCTTTCCGGCCCTAGCGGCCCAGGAAGTGTTCCAGTAGATGCCGGAACGATCTCCCCTCGCGGCTCCCTTAACAGCCTAAGGGTTTGAGGCAAGTGGCTTCGGGAAGGTTTGGAGCCGGCGCGGTTAAGAGGAACTCGTAGCTGTGCTGCAAGGCTGCGAGTGTTTCGGCTCACAGAAGACCTTGCTAGAGGAGATCAGGTAATATTTGAAGAGAAATTCCACCCAGAATTGGCCCCAGTGGAAACTGCATATAAAAGTAGTGCAAAAAGGTTAAAGATATCCAACTCAACGGGCTCCTCAGCTGGCTTTAAGGAGCGAGTACAGGAGGCACATAATGCAATTCATAAGTATTTTCGCTCGAGTTGAGAGTACTTACAGCAGTATATTGAAGGAAAGAGCTCTATGGAGATAGAGAACATCCGCAAAGGGAAGGGGGAACACCGTGGAGCTGCTCCGACTCTGCCGCAGGCTACCGAAGATCTACCAAAATCGATCTACAGACGGGATCACCACCACTGTCTCCAGTGAAACCTATCTCACCGAGGTCTCTCAAAAACGGTTCATGTTCACGTTAATATCTCGTCTGCTGACGGTAGCCTTAGTGAGGTGGGCATGTACAGTGCGAGCCAAACTGTTACCCAACTCAACTTCTCTCAAGTGTTATAAAAGGAACTATGAGAAATTCAGTAATCATGCACCACCGTGAAGCTGGAGAAGCTTTTTGAGACGCTTATCCATGGAGCATGTTAGCTTCTTCACTTCTTCGGGGGCGATTTTCTTCGCGGCATCTTCAATCACAGACCACAGCCTGTCAACCGAATCATAATGAGTGCCTTGACGGTAAACCTCCCTGAAATAGTTGGGTGAGGTGACTGTTAGATGATAGTAGAATGATAGCCTCTTTAGCAAGCTCCAGTAGTCCTCAATTGGATTGAGGTCAGGTTATAAGCTGGGCCACTCAATGATCTTCATACTCTTGAAATCATTCTTCTCCAGAAAGGAAGTGGTAAACTTGCTCGAATGTGCCGGAGCATTGTCGTGCATAAGTACCAACTTCCTCTTGAAACTCACGGGGCGTGAGCGGTACCAAGGAAGGAATCTACTGGCCAATAGCTCAGTGTAACTATCGGCGAGAACAGCTAAGAGCTTCCTAGGTTTGTGTACTACGCTTTCGAGTCCATTTTAACTCCCTTCTCCACCCTGCATGGACCAACCACAGTGTCTCCAATGATACCCGCCGAAAACATGACACCTCCACCCCCTTGCTGCTTTTTCTTCCGAGCTGGTAGTACCAGCCTGGTACTTGGGAGCCACGGAGGATCCAGCCTGAAGCCCACCCGTCCGGCCCGTCGAAGGAGGCCCTGCACTCGTCTGTGAACGGGACGGACGAGAATTCTCTCTTTGTGTTATTCTCGGCCCATTCATATCTTGTCTTCTTGTGCCGGGCCGTCAAAGCAGGCTTGGCAATAGCCTCCTTCAGCCCTGAGGGTTGAACCCTCCCAGCTGATTAAGAACCCTATTACGCGAAGTTTTGGGCTTCATGGTAACTCCAGCGCCCTCAAAGATCTCCTTGCTGGTTGCCAGTGGGCTCCTGGCCATTTCACGCTTGAGCCTGCCAGGCTCAGAGAAGCCTAGCAGGCTCAAGAAAAGATAGGGAGGTCGGCTTAGAGAAGACAAGGCTCAGCCTGGTCTTCTCTCGCGAGGTTACAGACTTTTTCGTGGGTCCGGGATGGCCCAAGGGACGCTTCGTGGGATTTTCGACGTATTCCTTAATAGTCCGGTGGTCCCGCTTCAAGGCCTTCGATATTTCGAGTGTTGTCTTGCCTGCTGCGAGCGTCTTTACTAGCTCTGAACGTTCCGAATCGGATAGCTGTTTGCCGCGACTCATGTTCAAACGTAATAACTAAGTTGCATAACGGTCTGGGTCGGCTGCGCAGCCAAAGAAGATCTTGCTCGCCCAAATAATCGAATTGGGTGACGAAACGGTCATGATATGACAAACTTTGTTCTTAATGGTTACCATCATGCTACATCCCAAGTTTCATGTTCTAAATGATAAAATTAAAAAGTTATACCAAAAAAATGAATTTGCATAACGGTTTGGTTCGCACTGTATGTCCAGGTTTCCACGCTGTAGATGCATTGTCAAGCTTGGCGTTCCTGCCCATAACCCCGCCTTGAGCCCCCGAGGCTGCCCTCCTTCTCTAGCTGTATACACTATACAGAATCAGGCATGCAGTACTGACATCTCATATCACACACATCAGTGAGAGAGAGAGCCGTTGATACGTAGGTAGTCGTCGGCCGAGTCTCGGCCGCCGAGATCGCACTAATTCCCTTCTCCTGAGTCAGGAGTCCTGACCACTGACCCCGTAAAGCTCCAGCAGAGGCTTCCTCCGACGACATTCTATTAACATCATAAGCTGTGCAGGGCCTGCACTGCAGGCAACAGAGCAATAGGACCAGTTCAAATACAGCACGCCAACGCAATCTCAGTGGAAAGGAGGAAGCTCGCCCAATGCACCAGAGATTATTATAGATGCGCAAAGCGAGTGATAGCAATATTAGTCAGTGAGTGAAAAGTTGGGCGATGAGGTCATCACGCGGCAAAGTTGGGGTCGTGAGGTTCCTCATCCACTGGAAGCTCGGCGAAGGCCAGTAGCAGATCATCTCGGACCGCCAATGCTACTAGAGGCTCTGAGGACCGCACCTGACAAGTTAGACATGAACTATAAACGATTTGTAGATGAGATGACACTACCGCAACTCTGGCTTTCCCTGCATGCTGAGGACCCGTACCGACTTCAATCCGGACGAGGACCTGAGGGGCACTAGTTGAGAAAAGTGTGAATCTACCATAGTTGCTACCGTAGCATTAGGAAGAGTAAAACACTGTATTCCTTCTGGGCTGTCTGCCGGGAACTTACCACATAAAACAAGATTATTGGGGTTGGCATCGAGCTGTGAGTGAAGCTTGAGAACCTACTCAAAACAACTGTAGGAAAATATGCACATCTGTTCGTAAAGATTCTGGGGAAATTCTCGTTGGGTTCTATATACTTCTACCCGAATTTGTTTTCTAACTCCTATGATCAGTGAAGAAACTCCTAGACTAAACTAAGGAAAGCGTACATATATTCCAATACTAAACGCCAGTGTAAACTGCCCGTATTACCCCTCCCAAAGTCGCTGATCGGGCGAGCGCTAAAAGACTGTCCCGGCAGTCGTACGAGGTTGTTATACTCACTACAGCGGACTGCTCAGATAAATGGTATCTGATACAGTAAGGGCACTAGAGGAGGTAACGAGGGTGAAGAGAGGGCCCTACATATGGTGTCGCCACATGCTGAAGAAATCACCAGCATTTGGTATGTCCACGGGGGCCATGAATTTCGACAGGAGAATAGGAAGCCGCAATGACAGTGTCCGAGGCGTATTATCGAACAATAGGAATCGCATCTGGAAGAATAGATCATCATAGTCGCTGTAGTGATGACAGTAGCCCTAGTAAATTCACTATCATTCCCTAGGAAAATATGCACATGGTCAACCACATGTGTGGGTGGCGATATGAAAACTCTGTAGAAATTCTGGGAAATTCCTATTGATTCCTGTACATTTCTACCCGAATTCGTACGTCAAATCCTAGTTAGGAAACTCCTGAGTTCAGTTGAGGCAACCAGAGATATATTCCGACACTGCTCCGCCCCCTAGTACACTCATCATTGGGATTTGCTGAGTCGGCTTAGTACACACTGCCTTCACTGTCAACCGTATCTGCCAGTACTACTACTACAACACTCCCATGACCACCTAAGGTCACCTGCTGCTTAGCCCTGATAGCTGTCGGGACGGCCTCTGTCGGCGTTAGGGTTATATCGTCGCCCGATATCAACTCAACGGTAAAGCCATCGAGAGCTCCCGAGCCTGACATACTCGCCTACGATGATCGGTACACTTCCCCCTCTACTACTCTTATTGCCGAAGTATATACTAACCTGCCCTTCTCCCATGCCGCAGGTGTAGGACGATTGAACACCGATCTAAAAGCAAGACCACATCATCTCAAGCTCACAGCACTAGACCCATCACTTGGAGTATCTCATCTTCATACAGTACTCCCTCCTGAGCGCCTATAAGAGCTCGGAACCGCTCCACAGTGGCTGGCGTCCCAACGTTGTGTGGCAGGAGGGCGCCACCACTAACACCTGCTGACCCCAAGTTGGTCGTCTTCATTGGGGAGCCAGTCGTACCTACATAAGCCCAATAGAGAGCCTAAGAGGTAGTCGGGGTACCCAATGGTGCCGAGGCAGTAGTAGCTGTGGTGAGAGGTCTTATGAACCCATCAGTTTGTGGAGCGACCATATCCTCCAAACTGGACGCCATAGCTGCTGGTGTCCTTGATGACGTTGGTGGTACTCGGGCATCACCGAAGTAACTGCCCAGGACTATGCTCTTCCAACCCCTTCCCTTTCCTCCCGTTATAACCTCTCATTCATGCGTCCAAAGTTGTTATCAGCAGCCTTAGCCCTTGCCGCTACCTCCTGTTCAGAGCCCTCAAAGAGCTTCTTCAACTGAGCATTCTCCCTTCGCAACGCCTGACAACCACTCCACAGGCGGACGATCATACCGGTAGGAGTCACCTCATTGGTGGCCGCCATCTCCGCTAACCTCCGAGAGTCCTCAGCTATCTGGTCATCCCTCGTGTTAAGCTCATCCTGGAGCTTCGAGGCACGGGTGGACTCCTGATAGGAACCAAGTCGACCCATACAGACACACCCGGGGAAAAACCTCAGACCCCTTCCCGTCTTATCACTTTCATCCACATGTCCTTTGCATTACTCAAGTCCGTCGTTAACCCCTTGTTCTGGCTCTTCAGACTGTTCACTTGTCCCTAACATGAATACCACCGTAAAGATCAAAGCCAATGATGCAGGGACTACCTCAAGCTTAGCCACTTGACTCATGGTCTCATCTAGTTGGTTCCTAGCGTCTGATAACTGGCTTAGAGACGACTGATGTGCCGACACTGAGATGGGGTGCGCGCGATACGGTCCGGGTCCGACTGAAATCCGCTTCGCTTTACCCGAGTCAGACAACTGTTTTTTGAGTTCCTCAATCTCAGCCTTAGCATCACTGAGTTCGATAGCAGCCAGATGCCGCTCTACTGCCAACTGCTCCGCAGACGACGACTCGCCACCCACGTTCTCTACCACGGTGATATGCTCTCGACTGCCCAGTCCCCTCTAGTACCGTTATCACCACCCTGAGGCTCCACTACAGGTGTCTTGGAGGAGCCTGCTGGCAGGTCCTCGAGCTGAGCCTTGTCAGCAAATATACCGAACATGCCGTTATCTGTGATGAAGGCCAGTCGCCCGATGAGCCCATCGATGCAGATTTACTACGAATTGGAGCATCAGGTCTCGTCAGCTGCTCCTTCAGTGCCTCTAGCAATCTACATAAGAGTAATCACCTCCGGTTGGTCGGAGTAATCGACGCTTACTCCTTTGAATCTGTCTGATCATCCCCCAAGATGTCAAAATCTATGTATATGCAGTCCCCAGCCCCCTCGTTACCCGGAGCGCCGCCTGCAGCAGCGTTCGAAGCGTTACCATCTGGTATCCCGGAAACAGACACCACTCCGGGGACGCTACTAGCAGCCATTACAATGAAAAACTTCTGAGGCAACATGTCGTCATGTCCGTCCTGGTCGTTGTAGTACTGAAATTGTTAGTAGCACCGTCAGGCCATATAGTGTTCCTAGTCTGATTAAGCCGCCGTATGCTTCGGAAACAGCAGCAACAATTTGGGTTGGGAAAATCCTTCCTAGAGTAAACACAACACTGCTGATGATGTACTAATTAGAGCGTAAGAGAGCCTAGACTGTGTACCGACTAAAGATGCGGGGTTTTCGACTTGATCATCAGTACCCATGCCCTTTCCCTCTGATCAGCGGATTCTTTAGACTGTTTATACTCCGAAATATCGATTATTATGGCCAGCGCACTTTCATCGCGAGACTGCTAAGAACAACACCATCATCCCGTCGAAGGATAATAAAACTGCCCACCTGACATGAGCCATTAACCCATGACCGACGTAAAGGCTTATCAAACTCGGAGACAATTGGAGTTGGTCTCGCAACGTGCATCAAAGCCGGGATGACAACAGTGGCAGCTTATGAAAAGATAGTCGGCATGGTAGTGCATGATGGTGTCTCCTACGAAGCCTTCTGAGAGCTATTCTATCCCGTTATCGACCAACGCTGTGGTGGTTACGTTGCTGATGTCAAGCACCCTACTGATCTAGACTACACTGAGCTCCTCGATACTCCAACTGACCCTTCTCGAGAATACTTCATCTCTACTAGAGCAAGGACGGGTCGCAGTGTGCGTGGACTCAGACTTCCAGCTCTTTGCACTGAGGAGAGAGGTCGAGAGAATCTTAACTGAGGCAGTGCAAGCCTTGGGTGGAGACCTGGCTGGTACTTACTATCCACTTAATGGGTGTAATAACTATTATGAGAAGCCAGGGAGAGTTATAGTAGCAGCAAAGCGTGAAGATCACTCACTCTTCCAACAGCCTGAGTACACTCTCTTACTGACACCTGGTATGGGCCTACCCCAATTGTCAACGATCAGAAGAACTTCCTAGTTGGAGTGAATCAAGAAGACCATATCATATGCAGAGGAATGCCGATACTAAGCCCTATTCACTCGATTCTGCGGCGATGCCATCAACCACGTGCAGGAGGCTAGTAAGCAACAGAGCTAAGACTTCATGCATAATGATCATCTCGGTAACAGCCTTGGCACCGGTCTCCATCATGATATAGGTCCCACTACTCTCAGCTATGCCCGACTTCAACAATATTTGTTGACCGTTGCATCCGCAAGCTCGTGATGGTGCCTGAATTGACATCGCCACTGTCGGGGGGCATCTCCAATAGTGATTAAATTCCGAGATCGAGCTCGTGTGTATGTCGGTTTAAAGTAGTCCAGTGTCGTCGGCGGCATGGCTACATAGGCTAGCTACTTGATAAGCTCTCTGTTGCGTTATCAACTTAGTCCGAACACTGTCACAAAGAGGTGGAGGAGCAATCCAGACCACACGATGCGGAGTACACGAGCTTCGTCTCCAGGACTCGACATTCCAGAGCCCCAAGAGATACTAAAATGGACATCTTTATCAGTGAACTTCCAACTATCAAGACGGCTATCGAAAGAAATGATGAACAACAACTGTTGTATTTGTCTGCTTTTCGTCGGCTATGAACCAGTCGGTCGAGACGGTGGCTATATCCAGTTGTCATCCTTCTCCACTGCAACAACACAACACTTCCAACCTCAAGGAAAGTCACGACTGTATCCCGCCCCTGAGAGCAGGGCAGGATCGAAGAGTATTGCATGCACTATACGTTTGGCAAACATATCGTCAACATCATCGATGTAAGCAAGTACTCCCACATTCGATCACAAACATATTCGACCAACAGCCATCATAGCTGGTACAGCATCCTGAGTCATCAGCGGTAACTCCATCTCTTCCTCTGTGTCCACTTCTGACTCTTCCTCTGGCGGTCGTGGTGATGGACAGAGACTCCACACTTCAGTTCCTCCACAACTCTGTTGCCAGTGTTCAGGAAGATGTCATTAGCCATGATCTTATGCCGCCTTAAAAAAGGGCAGTGTACACGGCACTGATAAGTGAGTGATGATAGTAGAGGGAGACGACTCACTCGGGCTCGTCTCCTGGGACTGAACGACTTCAACCTCGGTCGCCTTTCCAGCGGTCACGTCGACCCTTGATAGTTCTGACGAGTCTTGCGCATGCGTGCAAAGATTATCACTACTTCTACCCGCAGTGTTCGCGATGAGCACGTTAATGGGAGTGTCCTCCGGTGGTTTCGATGACAAAAGGGCGACGTCTTCCGGGTCAAGCTTAGCCCGGTCCGAGCCCGACAACCGCTTTCACCCAGCCTACCTGACCACGACAAGCTCCGGGTTGACGCCGCTACTCCTAAGCCTACATAGTAGGGTCGATGAGATCGATGAAGCCCAGCCTGGCAGCCTCGTCTACAATCGACGACACGGGGTCCAGGGCCCGCAGGGTGCACCGAGGCCAGGGTGCTGCCAGAGAGACCGCCGTTGGGCCATGAACTATACCCTGGTCTTCGAAAAGGAATGTCCCTATTGGCAACGCCATTACGATACCACTCCTCCTCCACTTACCTCCATCCATACCACCTTGCGGCTGGTGTCCGGGACAGGTGTATCCACGTGAAATTGATAGTCTACCGCTAGGGTCTGCAATGGAGTCGATGGGCAGCTACGCACCCTAGTGCCCCTACAGCTTGTATCGTGCTGGCATTTCGGAGAATACCCAGCTTATTTAGGGCGTTCTTGTCCAGAGTCTTCAACTTCCCATTACGCAGTTCAGCATTAGCCCGGGCAGCCACTTCCCTATACGGACACTGACCCCACAGAACGCCCACCTAGTCCACTCCCGGATCTGATGGTGAATGCGGTGAGTCTAATAGTGGCCATTCTCCCCGCTATGAACCGAACTGGCCCTAGAGGACATCAGAAGAGGAGGAGCAGCATACCTCTATACAAATTAACGCTGTACTGTGAGCTGACCAACGCAATACCACCAAAGTCTTCAAGTCGACACTCTTTATTACTATACATTTCAAGTCATGCCTTAGGAGTAAGTGGGGGCAGCCTAGGTACCTCAGAGGTAACCTCTTGCTGCGCCAACTCCGCAGTATAATCCTGACAGTGCGATGAATGGAGCCGACCAATACTATCACCTGGAAGCTCTTGCCGGACTCCACAGCAGTTAGGAACTGGACCTTGCCAGGTATCTTCGGGAGTTCAGTATAATCACTACGGAATTCCACCTACAGGCACCAGGTGAACACCCGACCCGACCCGGCCGCCCTACCGGAGCGGTATAAAGACTGTCCGCCTGCACTGTTGGGCCTGGACGCGACACGTGCGTTTTCATAACCTAGTCGATTGTGAAGCACCAGAGATCCCGAGGGTGAGCCCTCACCCTGAACCCAGGCCCCTTGTAGGTCATCTTGGCTATTCTCTTTTGCATTCGAACCTCCTTATCTACTTTATCGTAGCGCACTGAGCTAGTCAGCGAGCGGAAGTTAGTCGCAGCTCGAGAGTTCAACAATGCGATCTGTGAAAACTCCTTTCTTGGCGGCAGACAAGACCTACTACCTGCCGACTCGTCTTAAAGGGCCCCTGGATGGCCTGTTGGCGGCCTACATTCGCTGTAGCCGTAGAAAGCAAGAACTTCTCATATGCCTGTATACCATAGCAAGCTAGAGCCTCTCTAGCCACGACGAAGCCTACCAAATCGGGAGCTACGTCGCCCTGTGGGGCCTGCTTGGGTTGGACCTGAAGACGTCGATGAGAGCAGTGGAGAGGACGGCATCATACTCTGGCCCGCCGCGATAGGGACTTCTCGAAGGCCCTAGGTCTTCGTATACTCTTCACTACCTTGGACTTGGCGTACTTTCTAATCTGTGCTTCGACCGGCTGGATGAGCAATAGTACTCGCAGTAGTAGCAGAGAGCCGTCCTACCTCTCCCAACACATGTGGTTGGGACTTCGCATAGGGAGGGTTGTAGACTCCAGGGCACTAAAGAGATTCCCAACAATCAGTTCAGAGTTCTATTATGAATAGAAATACGGATCTAGTCGACACTAGGTGACCACATTCCGAGAGTGTCTTCTGAATTGCCAGCTCTTGAGCTCGCGCCGATTCCTGCATGACAGTAGCTGTACTAACCTAGGGTGTGTGGGAGTACCTCTAGCTGTTCTTTCAGATGAGCATCCGCTACCTCCTGTAGATATGTACGCGACCGCTCTCCTCGCTCCACAACCTCCAAAAGATATCTAAAGATTCCTCTTCCTGAGCCTAGGGCTCGCAAGGCTGCTAACCTCTTCATTGCGTAGTAGTCGTGCAGGTACCTCCTCGACCAGAAGCCTTTGAACACGCGTTGTATCGACTCGGCTTGGGCATTGAAGAAAGCCAACTGTTGATCCTTGAGCCTCCGAGCCTGCTGAATCCACTGCCCCCAACGATGCAGTTGAATACTACCCTCAGCGCCTGCACTTCACATCTCGTCACAAAGCCGCGATAGACACGCTGGATCAACTCAATAGCTCGTCGAACCTAACTACAACTCCACCCAACGCACCCGGAAGAAATCCCCCATTCACGTCTACTATTACCTTTTCGTATCGGAAGCGGCAGAGGGCCCCGCGGAATATCCGTTGGATCTCCGAGGCAGCTCTCATCTCAGCCGCATAGTGGTCTTCGGCCGCTTGTAACTCTGTGAATAACCTGAGAGAAGGAGAGCCAGCTCGACCTCCTATAGTGAGCGATATCAAGACTCGTCCCTGTCCCGGAGAGGAAAGACTGCCCTCTACAACCCAGTAGGAGATACAGTGCAGCAGGACGATGAGCTCCGTCACTCGCCACGAAATTCAACCCCTCTCATGCCAGTGATACAGACTCGATCTTACCTGCTATACAGAGCATCCACCAAGGGTCGGACCAGTTGTAGATCAGTGAGTGCTGTTGAGGTAGCCATTGACACTACATACACCGTCGCGGAAATGCAATAGAGTTCAGGGCGCGCGCTAAATGCATTCCGCATCATATCGTTTGGACTCGTCCTCATCAGAACCATCACGTGACGTATCTGTGCAGAACTCTGAATGAGCGGTGTTCTTGCTTCAACCTCCAACGCGGCGGGTGCCAGCGTCACCTCCACGACAAGAGTTCCCTCTAGCAGTACTCGTGGGCAGGCAGGACCTCAGGCCGACCAAAATGGATTCCCCCCGCTCAAGGAGAACGAGGTGGGATATCCTAGGTTCATCATGAGAAGATTCAAAACTGGTTAGATGTGTGACTGTTCATGCGTGTCATCACAGGTGGAACTCGTCATAAAGCGGTTCTGGCGTGATACTAGACCTCGCGTATGCGTCCGCAGTGATGTGAAGAACGTCCGAGGGTTCAGCTTTAGGCTTCTTGTCTGGCCTCAAGGGTACTAACACAATTGGCAGGAGTGAACCTCTCAGGGCCCTATTGCAGATCCAAATCCTCTCACAATCACCTCTCGGCATTCGTGGAAGTCGTGCCACCTCAGAACGTGAACTCCACTACTGCGAGTAGCGGGGGCAATGGGCCTGTTGATGCTGGGGATGCCAGCGATAGAGAGAGTAGTGCTCAGATACGCTCGAAGGGTGGTAGTGGCGGTGTGTAGATTCAACTGGGA